CTCTGAAATATTATTAACTATCACATCACACACTGCATTAGGAGAAAAGAAACACCTTGCCCAGTGTTCTTAGGGACATCCTTCAACCATTCAAATGGAGTTACCTGATATATTATATTAATATGAATTGAGACAATGAGATGTTATTTAAAATCATGAACACAAAATATTGTTCAAAGAACAAAGCACAAACACATATTATTCAGAAAAATACAATAGGTTATTCAGAGTATTCAGGAGAAAATGCAACAGATTATATATACAGGAAGTTTGTAAGGAAAAAAATACAGCAGGTTTTTGTAAGGAGAAAAATACCTTAACATCCTTCTTAGGAACAAGCTTTTGGATTTGACTCATGCATCTGAGATGCTCCTTGACATTGTATGTGCTGGATGCCTTCCAAAACCATTTCGTCAATTCTAGATCCCCCCACTTCTGCTTTAGATTGTTGTACATGTGCTTCAAACAATATATGTGTTCTGCCCCCTCAATTTCACTCACAACTTCAAGCAAACCCTTCTGTGTATCTGAAACAAAAGTCCATTTTCTCTCCCTGTATGGATCTACATCTCTCAGTAGCCTTTCAAGGAACCACCTCCAAGAATCTGTCTTCTCAACTTCGGCATATGTCATTGCTATTGGTAGCATATTGTCATTGCCATCCCTACCAACTGCTGAAAGAAGTTGACCACCATGAACTGTCTTCAGAAAACATCCATCCAGCCCTATAATTGGCCTACAGCCAGTAAAAAATGCCTGTCTCATTGCAGATAAGCAAACATACATCCTTATGAACTTTGGAGGTGAAAAGTCGTTGTTCACCTTCAGTATTAGACAACTACCAGGATTGTACTTGACTACTGTAGAACAGTAGTCATATAGCCTCTTATACTTTTCCCCATAGTCAACCTTCAATCGAGAAAGAGCATACACCTTGGCTCTGTATGCCTTGTGCATACTGACATCAACCCCACAATGCCACTTGATTTTATTTTTCAGACGTGCCAACGTCTCACCAGGATTGTCCCTCAGAGCATGTGTGTTTTCCTTTCAAAGTCTTGATCTGAAATATGGACAAACCTCCAATAATTGAGGCCCTCAAAGACCAGTCACCCACTTGCATTGTGCTGTGATGAGCTTGGCTTCATTCTTGGGAAACTTCAAATCATATCCTTTTCTAACAAACCAATCTCTAATCACATCCTTGGATTTTGCTCTGCATGGAAATTTCTGACCAACTTTCAGCTCAAACCTTGACATATCAGTAATATCATTCCATTCATCAGGCACTTCAAAGCAGTTGTCATCATCCTCAGCCTCACTGTACCAATGTTCTTCTGTAGCCCTTTCCAAACCCGCAATTTTTTCTCTTGCTTTTTTTTCTGCTTTCTTCTTAGTTTCATCCATTCTCTTATCCTCTTGTGTATCTTCTTAGCATGATCATGACCCCTCTGTTGGAAAATGTCATCATCATCAGGGCCTTCTAGATCCTCCAATTCCCATTCACATAATTCAGAGGACTCACCACTACCTTCTTCAGGTTCATACTCTGAATCCTTTGAATCCTCTGAATATCCAAAATGATGTTCTATCCCCTCAACTTCTTGTTCTACCCCCTCAGCTTCTTGGTCTGACCCTCAGTTTGTTGTTTTGCCCTCTCATGAACTTGTTCATCCTCTTGGTTAACTGTCTGAGATCTATCTTCACCATGTTGTGCTTCAGCTTCATTAAGTGGCTCATCTCTCTGACCAACACCATCATGTGAACAAGCATCATTAGCATTGTTTGTAGGATCCACCTCATGTGAACCAGCATAATTTGCATCTTCTGTAGGATCCACCTCATGTGAACCAGCATCATTAGCATCTTCTGTAGGATCCACCTCATGTGAACCAGCATCATTAGCATCTTCTGTAGGATCCACCTCACCACCAACATCTTGTGAACATGCATCATGGTATGATTCTTCTTCATCTTCTAGACAATAATTGTCAATTAGAATATCCTTTTCAGTTTGTGGATATTCAATAAGTGGGATCTCTTCTTGTGCATCCATCAGATTCCCATCAATGTCCAATTTTTGTACAGACCCATGCAAATCTTCAAAGTAAAGTGGGATAACATATTGCCCAGTATACTTCTTCACCAACTTCAAAATATCACTGTCACTGGCAATCTGAATCAGCTTTCCTGTTTGTAGAGTTTTTCCAGGCTTGTGTGAAATAATATCCACAATGGATGACTTGCCACCTGCCTTATTGTACACATCTATTATCTTATACATAGACAATCTGTCCATGTCATAGTAGTCAACTGCAATTCTTTGACCACCAAAGTAGTGAACAAAGGGCTCCCATTTTATCACTCCACCAAATCTAACATCAAATACAATAGCCATATTCTACAATTCAACAAGTATGATATGATTAAAATATGAAATCAGGGACCACAACATAAAAAGAATACTTTATGCATCAACACTTCCTATGCATCAATATCACAGAAGGACCCAAATTCTACTTACAAACAGCATCAATAATTTTCAGATTAAACCATTTAACAATAACCACAAATTCAATATACATATAAGATAAAGTAAACAGCCCTAATTTCCAAATCACAAAACCATGCAAACAACTTTAATACTTTATACATATAGTATAAAATGAAACAATTCAACCAACAAACAACATCAACACTTTACTCCATTAAACAATTCACACAAGGAGCACAATTCGACCAACAAATAGTATATAAATCACCCTAATTCCAAAATCAGAAAGCACTAAATTCACAATCAGAAATCCCTAATTTTAAAATCAGAAAGCCATAATTCAAAAATCATAAAGCCCTAATTTCCAAATCAAAAAGCCCTAATTCCAAAATCAGAAACGCTAATTTCATAATCAGAAAGCTCTAATTCCCTAATCATAAAGCCCTAATTCCCAAATCAGAAACCCTAATTTCAAAATCAGAAACCCTAATTCCCAAATCAGAAAGCCCTAATTCTCATATCAGAAACACTAATTTCAAAATTAAAAAAAACCCTAATTTCCAAATAAAAAAACCCTAATTACCAAATCAGAAGCACGAAAGTTTACCAAATCAAAAGATATCGAATTTTTCTAATTTCCAAATGAAGCAATCGAGTTTTCCTAATTTTCAAATCACAAGCATGCACTTCACCAAAACCCTATTTTCGAAACCACATAGCACAAGAACCCTAATTTTACAAATGCAAGTATTGAATTTCCAGGTAATAACCTTTAATCGTCAAATATTCGAAAAGTACCTTATGCCCCATCGAACAATCGAGAAGAATGTCGCTGCAAATAAAACCCTAGCTTTGGAATATCGAAAATTACTCCTCCAATCGGCTCCAACATTGAAGATAAAGAAGACCATTGTTATGCGCCATCGACCCTTCTACAAATTAATAGTTGAAAATCGGCAATTTTTTTTGGAGAATCGGGGTGCTGAAATTGGGATTTTTTTAAGAATCGGGGAGAGAGAGAGAGAGAGAGAGAGAGAGAGAGAGAGAGAGAGAGAGAGAGAGAGAGAGAGAGATCGAATTTCAAAAGTTAGAAATGATTTTTGTTCCAGATGGGTGTGACTTCTCAAAGGACAAGGGCATAACGGGACGTTCACTTATAAGTTGGGAAGCGTATGCTGGCCAAACTACAATAACAGGGGGTTTGATGCATTTTTTAAATTAGAGGAGGATAACGCGTAGATTTAATATAATACAGGGGGTTTTGGTGCAATTTACCCTACTACTTTACTAGTGGTAAAGTAAAATAATTTTGTTTTAAGGGATGGTTAATATAAAAATTATAGTGTAATTTTGCAGCGTGCATCTACTCGCTTCTCTCTCTGAGTCGCTTCAATACTGTTAGGGGGCGTTTACTTCAAGGGATATGCAAAATATTCCCTGCTATCCTATGTTTACTGCAAGGAATTAGGACAATATTTAAATGATGTGGCGCACATGTGGCTGCGGGTCACATATAAACCAATTCCCGATTAATTCTGTCCCAGGGTGACCTCGGGATATTTTTATCCCGACTTTTAGCTGACCATTTTGTCCTCAAAATTGCTTGAGAAAAGACTGAAATACCCTTGAACATCCATTTAATTGCAACAACGACTATTTATAAATTAAAACCTCACTTGCACTAGCCTGTGTTGAGTTCGAAATTGAAGAAGGGGGTGGGGCTCAATGTAGTTGCAGGTATAAATATTGATAACAGGGTTACATTTAGAAACTCATTTTGTGCAAAAAAAAAAAAGGTAGAAAAGAGAGAGATTGATGGTGATGAGAAGAGACTAGAAGCGTTTGTGTGTGTTTATAAAGCTAAAGATGCAAGTGTATGAAGTTTCTTTTTTACACTTTTTCTTTTATTTTTTTCCTCTATTTTCTGCAATTCTTGATCACAAGTGGCAATGATTTTTCTTGTCCTCGCTCACTCTTCGTAGAATTAGGGCTCTCCATTAAAGGAAAAAAAACGACATGCGAGAAAATTAAATCGAGGAAGACAAAGGGTAAAGTGGTATTTTATTGTGTTATCATCTTATTTAATCTAGTGAAGTAAACGAAGGATTTGTTTCTCAAAATTCCATCCCATTGCTGACATGTAAAGTTGCAACGATTATTTTAATTTATCCCATCATACAAAGTAAACGACGCTTACGCTTACACTGTTACTCGAGTCCAAAGTCCAAACTAAACGCCACCATCTTCTCAACTTTTCTTTCACTCCCTACTTTGCTCCAAAGGCCTCCTATTTCTTGAACTAATGATAATTAATAATTCCGTCTCTCTCTCTTTCTACCGCCATTTCTCATACACTCCAACAAATGAAAACCCATGATGATAAAAAGATGACGGCGGCAATATTCCCTAACCCCCGTTTCCATATCTAAAAAATCGGAAGAGGGAATCGCAAAGCATAGCGAACGGTGAACTTCAATCCGCAGCAATTGTTTTTTTCTTTTCAAACATGTCAGAAGGTGGGCAAAAGCAAGGGTTTTTCACGGCGTTGAAAGTGGAGGTCGCGCGCGGGTTGTCCCCTGGGAGGTCACGTCCCTGGAGTCCAGCGCCGAGCGCGAGGGATAAAGCGGGCGCCGGCGATCCCGACCCGTCTCTCGGGAGATCGGCCAGCCTCAGGCTGACAGGGGAGGCGCTCGCGCCGCTGATGGAGGGCCCGGACCCGGAAGGCTGCACTACTGGCGGGTCGAAGCGTTTCAGGTCGGGCCTGGGATCGTGGGTCTGGGACCAGCTCATGGGTTTCCCGTCGGGTGCCAACGAGAACGGGAGCGGAAACAAGCGCTCCGATCTCAGGCTGCTGCTAGGCGTGATGGGCGCGCCGCTTGCTCCGGTTAACGTCAGCCTCACTGAACATCTGCCCCATCTCTGTATTAAGAACACCCCCATTGTATGTCTACCTCTCTTCATCCTCTTTTTTTGTTGTTGATAAGTTTATTGGTTGTGTCGTAATTAGATGCCAATAAAACTGTTTTTGGTATATGTATGATTATAATTGAGTTATCGATTTGTTATATAAATGCTGGGGATTTTTAAAGTGTTTGTTTTAGCAATCTTAGGATTTTAGCACTAAATTCATTGATGGCTGAGAAGTTTATGAGCTTTGGTGATGCAGAGTTAGATTTAGATTTAAGTCTTGTGTTTTGAGCGCTGTGTCTCTGCTTCTTGATAAACAAATAAAAATCAACACAAAAAAAAAAACGTCATAGAATAAGGAAAGAGTTGGTTTGGACTCTAAAGATTGGACCTTTTTGAAACAGAGCCAGAATCTATCGACAGTAATGCCTTAAATCACGGGATGTAATCGTGTCGTTCTTTTCATAATTTACATTTTACCCTTAAATCCTACTGAAGAAACTTTTAGGTGAATGCTTTTGTCTTAACGAATTTCTTGTGACATTTTGCAGGAAGCTTCGTCTGCACAGTACATACTTCAACAGTATACGGCCGCTTGCGGTGGGCAAAAAGTCCAGAGCTTAATTAAGAATGCTTACGCAATGGGTAAGCTGAAGATAGTGGCCTCGGAATTCGAGACGGCGACAAAGGTAGTAAAGCACAAGAATACATGTAAGTCGCCCGAGTTGGGTAGTTTTGTCCTGTGGCAAATGAATCCTGACATGTGGTATGTGGAGTTGGCTGTTGGGGGTAGTAAAGTCCGTGCCGGGTGTAATGGGAAGATCGTCTGGAGGCACACACCTTGGCTTGGGGCCCATGCTGCAAAGGGCCCCGTTAGGCCCTTACGACGCGCGCTTCAGGTTAGAATTTAATGCCCAACTTTATGAATTCGAGATTTTTTTTTTTTTTTTTTTTGTTGTTGACCGGAAATGTTAACTTGTGCTTTATGAATCTGCAATTTAGTTGCTATGATAGTCGAGGCCTTCGATTCTGTCGGAAAAATGTTTCGCTAATATGGACGAATCTTTATTTCGTGATTTTATAATATAATCCGTAGTGGTTTAATGTGATCGGCCGACCGAGTTTAATATGTGATGAATTCTTTCCATGTTCTAAATAGCATCATGACTGTTTTGTTATTGATTACATGAAAAGTGAAAAATGAGTGAATACATTGATGAAATCCTTCCTTCCATGTTCCAAATAGCATCATGACTGTTTGTTATTGATTAACATGAAAAGTAAAAACGAGTGAATACTAAGATTTTTACGCTCCCTTTCCAATTTTTTCGACACATTAGGCCAAAGTGAAGAAAAAAAAAAATCAACAAAAAATCGAACTCGAGCTGTCAAAAGCCACGATTTCCTGCTTCTCTTTCAGTTTGACTTCTAAGTACCAAAAAAAAATAAAAAAATTAACAATAAAAAAAACAACTCATAATACACAGGGACTCGACCCAAGAACCACCGCCAGCATATTCGCGGACGCGATCTGCACGGGCGAAAAAACCATCGACGGCGAGGATTGCTTCATCTTGAAGCTCTCTGCAGACCACGAAGCCCTCAAGGCCCGTAGTGAGGGACCTGCAGAGATAATCCGGCATGCTCTCTTCGGCTACTTCAGCCAGCGTACGGGCCTTCTCGTCCACTTGGAGGACTCCCACCTAACACGAATTCAGTCGGGTGGAGGGGATGCCGTCTACTGGGAGACCACAACCAGCTCGTTTATCGGGGACTACCGACCTGTGGAGGGAGTCATGGTGGCTCACTCGGGCCGCTCGGTTGTGACACTGTTCCGTTTTGGTGAGGCAGCCATGAGCCACACCAAGACGAGGATGGAGGAAGAGTGGACCATCGATGAGGTTGCCTTCAATGTGCCTGGGCTGTCGGTAGACTATTTTATTCCCCCGGGGGACCTAAGGACGTGTTTGGCTGATGACGAGATTTCGCAGGAGCAAATCGGGAGCTCCAGGTTGGCGGGAGTGGGGTTGCGTAGCGCGAAAGTGGCGGCGCTGGAGGGGTGATGAAGGTGTTGATATGCGGGGTACGATTTTTTTTTTCTTTTTTTATATTTTATATATTTTTCTATCTTGTTTTTGTTAATCTGACATGTTAGAAGTGACGAGGTAGTTGTTAATTTAATGTGAGGGATTTTGTTTAGCTGGAAAATGGTCTTCTTCTAAGGCTATTGTACTGATGATTGATGAATGGTTTTGTTCTCCTCTTCAACTCTTTCACACTGCACTAGTTTGTATATTATTATTATGTAAGTAGTAAGCAGCTTGATGTCCCTTAAGCAAGGTTTCAAATTTGAGTCCTTGTTGATGCAGAAAACCTTTATTGAGAAACTCACTGCCAAGTGTGCAACTCGAGTCGACCAATGAATTAGTCGGGGCATAACTCTGAATACCGTGGCTAACTACAAAATAAAATAAATGAAGTTACTAATATAAATTTTTGTCAATGCCAATTATATGTTTGTTTAGTGATCAATTTTGTCAAAAACTTGGCCGGACAAGTCCATGAAGTTTAAAATATAAATTTCAAAGTCAATACCAATTATATTCGGTTTAATTTTTAACTTATAGTGAATATTGATGACTAATTGGAACTTCCTCTTGGACTTATTAGGCAGCTGTCTGCTTCTACAACGGATCTTTTGGAATGCACTTCTCAAGAAATTATTTTGGGTGACCGAGAATTTATAAAGTTAAATATTATAAGTTATTTGTATGCCTATAATATTAAAATTATAAGTTAAATAATAGTATTATATTTCAACATATGGTATTATCAGTTATACTTATGCATACAACATTAAAATTATAAATTGGATAACAGTATTATATTTTAAAATTTGATCGTAACAGTACATACGATTTGATTGCATACGAATCACTATAGTGATTGCGTAATGTAATAAATATATAATTTTTGTAATTTTAACCAATTAATTAGCTGAAAAATATTAAATTTATTATAACAATTACTTAGTGATTTTAAGAAATTTTACTATGAAATAAAAAAAAAATAATTTATTTAAAAATAATTGCTTAATCATATAAAAAAATATAATATTGATTTTAGTTTAAAATATAATTTTATGTAACTTTCATATATCATTTAGTGTAAAAAAATATTAATTTTAATATTAACTATTATATGCTCATAAAAAATATAATTATTACTCAATTAACATAAAATATAATATTTTAATTAACTCAAAAATATGTAATGAAATATTTTATTTTTAATGAGATAGGGTGTACTAATGCCACATAAGTAAAATTTATTAGGTTCTATTTGTTAGGTTTTATTTAATGATTTGCCACATAGGTAAAATTTATTGCTAAACTAGCAATTATATATATATATATATATATATATATATATGGATGGGAGTGTGTCTATTTATCTGCTTCCAAAGGCTTGAGACAAGGTGATTCTATATCCCCTTATTATTTATATTGGTGTTTGAGATCTTCTCTTCTCTTATTTAAAAATGGTCTGGCTTGGGAGGTATTCAAGTGATGTGTCAATTTGTCACGGACGACATTGAACTAATCGATCCTCAAACATTTGCCTTCCTTGAGCTCCGATGACCTACAATTCGCCAGGAGGAAGTCTCGGCATAGACACTCTGACGCTCAAGCCATAACTAGTACGAGAGAATAGACTGAGATATTATGGACTTAATGCGTATAATTGGAAAATAATATAGAACCTGGTTACCCTTATATAGGATGGATGTTTTGATGCCCAAGAGAGCACATGCTGGGAAAGAGATCTAATCAAATCTTCTTTCCTAGCTTACCACGTCTCTATCCAGACATTCCTCCTTAACAATATAAATATTCTATCCTACTAGGATTCTTTCCCCCTATACCTCACAATCCTAAGGTCCTTAGGTCATAACCAAGACCTCATGACCTTTCTGCTATTAGGCCTTGCCGAGGTCGATCCCCGACCTTTCTGTCTTGCGACTTCAAAACCTCGGTCTCTCTTTGTATCCGAGCTCCTAGAGGTTGTTACCTCGATGTCATCTTTTTAGGTCGACTAGTACCTTCTGTTGCGTCTGTGAGCTCCTTGACTGGGTTGGCTTCCTCTCAATGAGCTGGAGCTCTTCTGAACAGACCTACCCCTAGCTAAACACTCAGTCCAGTCCGCTGAACTATTTTGGGTGCGACATTATCTAGTCCACTCTCCCCTCGCATTTCCCATTTCAGAATGATATTTGAAGACTTGTGGATTATCCTTTGTTATGTCATTGAACCCGGTTCGCTTTTTACATTGAATGACATCTTGGGAGAACGT